CATTGACAGTACTGTTGGGAATATTTTGAGATGATTTTTGTTGAGCCACCGGAGCGGCCGGAGCCAACGATCATGAAACCAAAATGCAACTGTATTATGATTATATATTATGATCAAACAAAAACCCCAGCTGACAGAAATCTGAACGGTTAACCAGTTCATTTTCGTGAGAAATCAAAGGATGAACGGCCTAGAGAGAAAAAAAATGTTTCTCTATCTGTCTTTGTCTTCAGTGTTCCAACATAACATAATGAAAATTTTATTTTGGGAACAATGGAAATAAGAAGAAATGAGGAAGAAGACCATTCTAACCTTTTTTATATTGAGGTTGAGGATTTTTTTTCTCTAATCATCAGGTACACTTACACTATCTGAGATTAAATTCAATTTATCTTCAACGATTTTCAAAACATGCATATAAAAATTTTGTTGAATTTCTAGAAAACATTCTCCCTGGGCTTTTGCCTGTTGAATTGAGGAACACCCTGTATTATTTATTTTTTTCTTTCATGTGAGAATAAATATTGTCCAAATATAATTTTGATTTTCAAAGTTTTTAACTGTCAGTGCTACCAATAACTAAGCAGAAAATCGGATAATAATTTTTTACTCATGTCCTTCAGATCAAATGGATCATAAAAAACGAATATTATGATATCATTTGAGCATATTTGAGCTGACCATTCATTATGATTATGACACAAATTTAATAGACAAGCAAAATGACTCAATTTGGTCTTGATATCATTCTGTAAACTACTGAGGATATTTATCTACTTGTTAGAATTCATTTCCATTTCTTACTTTCTTATCATTCAAGTGATTGGAGAGAAAACACCATAATTAACTGCTATCTCATTATACAGGGTATCTCAACTAGTCAAAATATTATACATGAAAAACTAAAAAATGGCACAAATTCTTCAAACAAAATGTGCATGAGTGAAAGACACTTATTAGTCTACTCAGGTGAAATATTTTCATCATAATGGAGTGACATCACATTTGTATTTTCCATACTTAACATATCCATTATCATTAATTGCAGTGAGTGATTTTAAATCATGAAAGTTGATTGGATCACTTGGTCTTGAGAAAAACTGAACATTTGAACTTGGTCAAATGGAAAGTCTAGTTTCATCATGGTTCAATTTATTTGAAATATGAAACACACTTAAAATCAACATCAGTTCACACAAAATATATGATTTATAAAATATTACAACCTAGTTTGGTACTCAAATATCTGTAGCTAACATCTATAGAAGAAATTGTGAAATTATAAAAATGAATTGAAAGTTGTATCTCTTTATCCACCAAGGACCTTTATATGTCATTAAGGCTCATCATGAGACCTAACTACTGTATATTGTAAAAGTTATCATTGATTTGAAAATGGATCACACTTACTTCAAGACTGGCACTGAACCAATGCTTCTGATAGTGATTGTGAATATCAGCATCTGCACTTATCCTCTGGAGTACCTCATTACGTGTAGCCCTGATGCTTCCACCATATGACCTTGATTTCAGCACAGATGAAGGTATCTCTGGTTTAACTCTAATTTCACCTATATCTGAAAAATTGAGTTGGAACACAAAAACTAGATATTAATCAGAAGGACCTTACCTATAATACTGTGGGCAGTAATTTGACTTTCAAAATCATCTTCTGGTTCTGTTTTCACCTTAGTGTAAGAACTATTACTATTGAACATGGTATTTGATAACAACACTGGGTCCTTAAAATATGTTCCATCACTTTGTTTCCCATTATTATATGTACATCTACCACCTAGTCTATTCTTAACTACAAAATCTGAATTACAAGACTTAGCACTAAATATTTGATCCACTAAAGGTGATGTTTTTTGTCCATTACACCTGAAACAAGAAAATGTGTTTGTCAGAAATGTAGAGACATTTTGATATGCCTTTATTGAGGCCTATTACACCCAGAGAAGTCGGTTCTTGAAGTTATTATTCTTTCATGATAGGAGCCACTTCATTAGGAGGAGACTCACTTTCTCTGTGGTTTGATGGTGTGGTCAATGATTGAATTGTTGTTATTATTATCTCCTTACCTTTGATTATTTTTCATCCCTGAAGTGAACATCTTTAGGTTACTTACGGACTGTTCATTTGAATGTTCATCATTGGCGGTCATTTAGACGAATGCCTCTGATTAAATTTGAATGTATCTGGAAATGTTGAGATGTGTAGGTGATAGAAGTATTTGCGGTATCAATATAATTACCATTTTTTAAAATAATTGTTCGAGTTTTGACAGATCATAAGAGGTTATGCCACCGACGGCTTCTGGTACAAATATACGAAATCGAATTTCTCCTAACTAGTTTTTGAAAGTATCATTAAAGAAAAACAACTATTTAATTGTATATTAAAAAGAATTGTTATTAACATCAATTTTTGTATTTTGGTTGAGAGTTTGACAAATGAGATGACAATTGACAATATGAAGTTGACATGTGACAGAAAAGAACAACCGAACCGTGTTAACCAAGTGCTGTGCTTTCGTTGATCTGTCTATCTTTGTTCACCACGTTACAGAAAAAAGGATGGGTACAAACTGAATGAGGCATGACTTTAGGCCTGTTCGTTTGTATTGCTAAACTTGATTTTTTTTCCCATAGTTGTCCTTGTTCATGGCATGATGTAAACAGAGAGTCATAGAAAAAAATCAAATTCAGCAGGTTGAGCAAGCACAAACGAACAAGCCTTTTACCTCTCTCTTTTCCACGTTTCTGTTCATGGCATAATGTAAACAGAGAAGGTCCTAAAAATCAAGTTTAGCAGGTAGAGCAAATACAAACGAACAGGCCTCTTGATTTTTTCTGACTTTCTCTGTTCACATCATAAAATGAACAAAGACAACTATGGGAACAAAATCAACTTTAGCAACACATGTAAGTAAAAGTAAACGAGAATAGATATACACATATCAGGGTTTTCCAATAAAGTTTCTGGATCAATGTTTACAAAATCAAAATATGTATATGAGCTTGCCACCCTTTGAAACAATCATACAATCTTTATACATGTTTATTAGGTTTAATAAACAATATAAACATTGTTGGTGACTTATACTTATCAATAAATCCCAAAGATTTTCTGATGACTTACAATCTCATCTTCATGAGATGCAGGAATATCTCTGATCCAACTAGGGAATTCAGTGTGATCTATTCAAGTTATAATGAAAATGCCAATAACTTCTACCACCTTTATTATTAAAAATTATACTTTCTCGCCATTTTTCACAATTGCAGTGTGTCATTTCTATTATAATTGAATGCTGAAATCAAACTATTTTCAAATGTTCAAGGTTTGCAGGGCTACTCCTGTGCTTTTCTTCACAAAACAATGAATACAAATCAGAAACAATGTGTCAACTTTTTCTCCAGAAAACGCAATCTCCAACGCCTATGTATAAATATGTATAAAATATAACAAAGGAATAAACCAGTGACAATCCCTAGTTTCGGTATTCGTTCTCCTCGCAATCTCTCTTCAGATGCCCTGGTTTGTGGCATAAGTAACAAGTCTTGGTGTTCTCAGGGCAATTTCTTGAGATGTGCCCAGGCCGCTGACAGTTGTGGCAGGTGTCATTGCTGACACGATCCATGCTGCCGCCCCCTGACTCAGGACAGCTCCTAGCAATGTGCCCCGGCTTCCTACAGTTGTAGCAGGACGGCATGTCGGGGCTCTGATGGCAGTCTTTGGCAAAGTGCCCTTCCCCATAGCATCTGTAGCAGCGCGCAGAGTCCTCCTTGCATTCGCGAGCGAAATGGCCGACCTTGTTGCACTTGTGGCACTTTTCTCTGCTCCTGGGGTACCCGCCGCCGCCTCCGCCTCTGCCGCCGCTGTCTCTACCGCCAGGTTGGGAGCATTCTCTAGCAAAATGGCCAGGCTGGTTACACTTGTAACAGATACTTCCGGAGCTCATGTTGAACCTTCAAGAGAATTTGAATGACTTCAAAGTGACAGAAAATGAGATGCAATTGACGTTTCCAAATTTTAAGAAAAAAAATCATCAATCCTTTATGAAAATGCTTGTCCCTTATTCGCACATATTGTATGATGAGAAATTAGTTTTTTTAGGAAGCAAATGCATTTTTAAGATTGAAACGCCCAACAAAAGTGGATATCGACGCCTTTCATCAGTCTGCGAGCCTACCGAAGCGGTTTATCGAATTTATTGCATTAATAGATTTCCACGTGTTGGCGTTCCATCTTGAGAAGCAGCATGAAGAGAAAAAGATTGGCTTACCTGCGGAATCGTTCTTCAGGTAATAGAAATCGATGCTAAACTGATACAACGTCTAATTGAAGGAATTGTATTCAGAACTGGCCACATTCGAGTTAAATAGGAAGAAAACACCTGCAAAATGTGGAAAACAGTATACAAAACCGCAGAAAACCGGTACTTGTCGACAACTGCGCAATTGACGTCATTTGACAGCGGACGTGTATTTCGACATTTCCGTTTCCGTTATAAAGATGGCGATGACGGTTCCCACAGAATGTTTCATTTTTCACAGAACAAGAAGTGCACATTTCAACACTGAGATCAAGAATATCAAGATTGACTTACTAGACAAGTGGCCGTACAATTGGCTGATTGGCTTTCATCTCATAACTTCCTGGTGTGTTGCATGCTGATTTTTTTCGGAATCGGGAACTTCCATATGGCAAGGCGAAGTGACGTCAGCAAACGCTGTAATGAGACGAACATGAGGTTACTTGTCTAGTTTGTCAATCTTGTATTAGACACACCCAACCTTACACCTGAACTACACCGCTAAGGAAAGGTGCACCGCACTGCACCGTGAGGAAGAATATTCTTATCAGAATAAATTAAACCGGTTGTCGGTCTTGTAGGCAGACTTATTTTTTATTTTGGAAATTTGAAAACAAATAGAGGAATATTGAGAGGAATCATCCAAAATATTGTAAGAGTGATTTAAATAGAAACTATAATGAATGAAGAGAGAATGGAGGAAGATGATAATATGGAAAACGAAGTCAGCGATTCTTCTGACTCTGATAGTGATAATGATAAGGTATATATTCTAAATAGGTATAAAATGTATTTCATATTTTCGATTTTGCAGGAACTGACTTCTAGAGCAGAAGCCTTGGAAGCCCAAATATCATCAAATAAATACCTTTATGATGCACATGTAGAAGTCACTGCAATATATCTCCAAATGGGAGATCTTGACTCCATGAGAGCAGCTTTTCAAAGATTTCATGAGACATTTCCCTTAACTCCTAAGCTATGGTTGAGTTGGATAAAAGCAGAAATAAAAATTGCTAGCACTTCTGAAGAGAAGGCACGTATTTTCCAACTGTTTGATAAGGCAGTTGAAGATTATTTATGTGAGTGACACTAGTAGGTACTCATGTTATTCCCTATTATCAACTGTTCAGAGCAGAAAATCAGAAATTAATATTCCAAATCTCTAATAGAAAGAATTCAACCAATTTTGAATGGAATGAATCTGTAGAAAACCTGTAGGAAATTCAGTTGTTGAAGTCATTTCACCCTTTAGTAACTTACATACATACAGTTTTGAGAAGTTTATTTTTTCTTTTTTTTACAAAAGCCATTGATGTCTGGGTGGAATATGCACAATTCTCCATTGGTGCCAGTGAACTGAGTAAAACTCATTCCATCCTAGAACGTGGTCTAAACTCTGCAGGACTTCATGTGGCAGAGGGTTCCTTACTTTGGGATACTCTGAGGGAGCTGGAGCATGCTCATGTACAGGTGAGGATTCATGAAAAATCTTTGAGTATATAAAAACATTGATTATCAAAAATGAATATTTTATTTTGTTGAATACTAATCAATGTTAAGAAATAATGTTAAAAAAAATTGGGACTACCAAATTTGCAAGAATGTCTCCAAAAATTGACATATTCTTCTCTATGATACACAATCCCAATGTTCACCTTCATTATTCCAACAATAATTGGCCACTGACCAGGGTCTTTCAGCCTGTTATACATTGATATCTATTGTATTTCATTTGTTTTGTTGTATAATATACATATATGTGTATATATATTTATGTGAATCATTGTTTGATGCAGATAAAAAAAAGAAAGTGTTCAAGATTGATTAATTTCCTGGCAGATGCATTCCAGCAAGGTGTTGTCTTGAGGTCTCTGTAGGGTATCTTTGAATGCATTGTGTTCAAATAATCTGCAAATTGATTTCATTGTTTTAAAACTTCTGTGCTAATTTTTCCAGCCTTTTGCTGATTGGTTGTACCTTAGTAAGGTGGTGGGGGAGTTCATTTGGAGGGTTGTGAAGGGGGTTTTGTGGGTTTTGTAATTGCTCTCAGGCTAGATCTTTCTGCTACTTTCAAGTTCTTCATGGGTGGCTTTCAAGCAATATTTTTGGAAAAAGTGCTGGAGAAATTTAATAGAAATAATTTTTTATGGCAAGGTAAAACATTACAACTAGTTTCCCAAAAATAAAATCACTGGAACTAATTGGACCTTCCTACAAAAATTATACAACTTTGCCTCAATTCACACACTTTCACATCTCTCACAGATTCCTACTGATTGGGAAAAATGAATGAGTTTCACCCTATATCAATGTAGTATAGGTAGGTAGTACTTTAAAACTGGTTTTCATAAATTGATATGCATCTTAAAAGGATTCTATTGTGTTATTACTAAATTATTATTACATACCATAATAAATTGAGAATTTGCATTCTCCTTCAGACAGAAATATGTATATGCACACATCATTCTGAATATTCAACAGAAAACAACTACTTTCAGAAGTTTTTATATTTTATTTTCAAACTCTTATCATGTGTGTTCAATAGATATAATTCAATGTTTGTCGTGGCATATAGCCAGGAAAGTAGTTGTTTTCTATTGAATCAACTGAGAAAGAGTAAATATTCTCATCACATAGAGAATGCGAATTCTGTATTGCTTTATATAAATATATATCCATTTTTGTATGTCATAATTTATCTGAGAATATTCCTTTTCTAGAGCCCTCTTCATTATCATCTGTCAAATTAATTATGAATCTATTCTGATCATTCAGATGGGTAGCACCCAGATTTCTATATCTTATTTTCTTTGGATTCTAAAAATTTATTTACTCTTTATGTCAATCGGCAGCATTGTTATTTTCCACTTCTGTGGTTATTACAGATGATATAACTTTAGGGTCCAAATTTGGGAACATATATTTTTCTTCGGATTCTTTTCTTCAATTGTCTCCCAATTAATTCTATAGGATTGAAAATACAAGAATATGGGGTCAATTAGAATATGGGGTCAATCTGAGAACCGTATGGTAATTTTGTTTGGCAATGTCGTCTATGACATATACTTTCACGAACTCTTCAACTTTCAAAACCTCCAAAGTAAGAATCATGGGTAGTTACAAAATCTTGGATCTCTTCCTCACGATTAGCATTGTTTGAAATCTTTCTCTTGTTTTCCTACTAAGACTGGATATCGACTGAATCCGTCCCTGACATTCGAGTCGCTACCTCACCAATCAGTGGCTATAGTCTATTTGGGCATTAGGAGAGATATAGGCAACTTTATGGTTTGAAACCAATATATCAAATATTCACCACATTTCACGAGTAGGAACGTCAAAATGTTAGTCATTCAAATTTTCTGTCGTGGATTCAAGGGATTTGTAGACGAAGCGAAAAACTCAATGAGTTGTGACAAAATACTGGGAACATGTCGTGTGAAAATTGGGTAGTTGATTGATAGTAAACACTTATCAGTATTATATATACAGGGTGTTTCCGAAATTGAAGCGATAAATGATGTGGGCAGTAGAAGATATAAGAGGAAACTAAATCAAAGTATGAATAAATGTACAGACGTATTTGGGGAGATATTACATTTCAAAGGTTAACTGGAATGTTTGTGAATCATTTTGATTAAAGAAAAACAGCCAAACCCGAACGTTTGCTTTCATCGAGGTCAGAAGCACTGCAAGTGTCAATGACTTTTGCAATGTTGATTAACACCTAACTAAAATAAATATAGGTGAAATAACCACCCAATGTGACTCGCTTTACAGATTATTATAATAATATGAGTAAGTATATAGAAGCAAGGCCTCAGACTACTTCACCTTGTTACAATTTCATGTCAACAGAGAGAACATCATATGATGTAACAATGAAATCAACAGATTACCGAGATATCCACCTGTTTCCATACATATCAGTGACCCTGTATATTTCAATTTATTTTCTTATCGTCCTAGTAGGAATAAAAAAATCAAAGTTATATTTACTGGTAGTTTTTTGGTATACAGCTCAAGATGATGTCGTTTTAAAAAATCAGTGGTCTCCTCCATTAGCTGTCTTGAATATACAGTCACTGGCCAAAAAACCAGCCACCTTGAAATATTTTATAAAGTTCCTCCCACATAAATGAATAGTTTTTTCTGTGACGGGAAAAAAGTTTGGCATTTCATCTCTGTTGGCAGGTTATAAAATGTCACTTTTCAAAAATTACTTTTTGTGAGTTCTTTTTTCCCGGATATAAATCACATAGATATACACTGTTGATGGCTTTTTTTTGTGCTATAGTTCCGAATAATAAGCCGATAATACAGTCTCCGAGAAAGAACTGCAAATCCATTCGACTTCGCGGTTACGTATATTACTAAACAATCACTAAATTCGCAATTTTTTGAAATCAAATCACAGAATTAGACTGACAGAAGTGACGTCAGATATTTGATTACTTCAAAAGAATGATGAAGATGCCTACAACGCAGGTGTCCCTACTGTTGAAAATTTCACGTCGATAATTTTCAGATTTCAAAATAATGTAATATCTTCTCAATATTAATTCGTCCTTTCTTCTGCCACAGAAAAAAATAGTGTATTATACACGGGAAAAATATTAGATTTTAACTCACGGTTTTTGTCTCCCTCCGCTACGCGTCGGGAGACAACACAACCTGGACCTAAAATCTACTACTTTTTTCCCTTGTATAATAAATAACTACTATTAGTTATAATATATTTTGATAATCAAGGGTGAGGAAGCCAGATTTTTTGCTAATGATTGTATTCAACTTCTAATAAAAAATTAAATATCAGAACCGAAAACTGATTGGCGCGTATTTTATATAAAAGATTGAATTCGTCTCACGGTTCAAATTGAATCATTTGAATCACATCAATCCTGGTTCAGGTCAACTCTGAAGGCAGTGAGGAATGGAAGAATCAAGTCAATAGGTTGGCAGATGTTTTCAAGAGACAACTGTCTGTGCCACTTCTCAATATGGAGAACACCTACCAAGAATGGCAGGATTGGTTCAAATCTTTACCACCAGGTAATTTTCTCAATGTATGTTTATTGCATTATTAAATTATTGTTTGTCTTCTTTAACATTACAGAATTGTAGATGAGTGAATTGTAATGTTTTTTATACCAGATTTATTTTTCAAGGAATTGTGAATCCAGATCCTATCGAATGGGGTTACAAAAAAGCCCTTAAAGTATTGGAAAATTACAAACCCTTCGAAGAACGCCTTCTAATCGCCGAAAGCACGGAGAGACTCGAAATATACAAGGAGTACATAAAAGTGCTGAAAGACCCATCCACAATACTGTGTCTGTATGAACGAGCAGTAGTAGGTAGGCCCACATACTCAAAATGTATTTATTAATATTTCCTCACGTTCTTTCCACTTGAATAATATGTGACTAGGCAAAGACAAAAACCCAAATTTCGATGATGTTACAAAGGCAACACAGAACACAGATTCTATTTGGCTTGGCTTTTTAATTTTAAATAAAATCATCACTTGATGACACTCAACCATCTTTCAATTCCGTTTTTTATTAGATTTTTTCTGTCGATTTTATGGTCCTAAAATCATCAATAATGCCACGGTGTTTTTCAAACGGCTAGGAATTTACCGCAAATAGTAGATTTAGATTTAGAATGGGGCCTTCGGGCTATCTGCCTCCACACCGCGACCTTTTCAGATCTATTGTGTCTGCCCTCAAAATCGATTAGAGTTCTTCAGCTAACCCCGCCTTCTCTATGAGACTCCATAGGCTAGCTTTCAGATCCCCTGTGTATCTTTGGGCTTCTGGTTCTTCCTCACCCAGCGTATGGTACCTTAGTCTTGACAATCCCTCACAGTGACAAAGTATGTGTACTGCTGTTTCCTCTTCTTCCTGACAGAACCTGCACAGCAGTTCTTCAGTCAGACCTATCGTACTCATGTGTTTGTTGAGCCTTCAATGCCCTGTGAGAAGTCCCACTAGTATTCTAGTTGAACTTCGTTTCTGGCTCAGTAGATATTCTGTGAATGTTGGCGATGGTTTTTTAATAAACTCTTTTGCCTGTCTCATACCTGGCGAGTTGTTCCACCATTCTTGAGATTTGGTTTGCATCCATGATTTGATACTAGTCTTTTGTATAACTTTCGCAATACCACAGAAGGGTTCTGGGCCATTCAGAGCTTTGTTTGCTCCTGCTCGGGCAAATGAGTCTGCCTCTTCATTGCCCTCGTACCCTGTATGTGCTGGTACCCATGCTAGAGTCAGTCTGTTCTGACTGCCCAGTTCATTTAGGGTTTCTATGCAGTCCCATATTAGTTTTGAATTGACTTGCATAGATTCGACTGCTTTGATGGCCGCCTGGCTATCTGAACAAATTGCAATGGTTTTGCCTTTAAACTATTGCCTTATCAATTCTTTTACGCAATGATGTATTGCAATAACTTCTGCCTGAAACACCGTCGCGTATTTACCTAAGCTCAGTGAGATTCTTGTCTTTGGCTTGGCCCCATAAATACCAGCCCCTGATCCTTCCTCAGTTTTGGAGCCGTCCGTATAGACAGCAATGTCTGCATTGATAGGAGGTCCTTCCTTCCATGCTTCTCTGTCCGTTATATACTACTTATTTTGAACCGCAAATAGTGAATCACTTGGGAACTTGAGAAATATTATTTATTTAATAATTCAAAAATTGTCAATTATGTATTGGTAATATTCTTAATGAGTTATAAAAATTCAATTGACTCAAAATTCTCCATCTTATCTGTTGTGGCTCATTGCTTATAATAAATTTGTATGAATGGAAAATATATAAATTCACACTAGAGGACATTTGGTCCGATGAACGTGACAACACGCCACGGATTGTGGGCGTTGTCTTGTCAGTTCTCAGCATTCACCACATATAACCAAGTCTCCATCCAACATTTACTCGATATTTTTCATGGAGTATAACAAATATTTTGACAAGCTGTTGCTCCAAAAAGTCTCAAATGAATAACTATAATATCTTTGCTTCTTGCTATTAGGTCAAATGAAATAATTGCATGTATGGTTGAAAGGCAATATATTGTTCTAACTTCTCAGTGAAAACGTTAATGAATGTGCAATAAAATAAACAGATCGAAGAAAAATCGGTGTGTATAAATCTGCGCGAACATTGCACACACCCTACAGGGTGTTCCAGAACAACGTGCATTTGATTATACAAGGTGAACTAGAGGTCAAAATAGGCTAATTGAAATCAACTCGCCTGTAAGCAAAAGTGCACCTCTAGTTCACCCTGTAGAATTTATTTCACGTGATTCTGGGCCGCCCTGCATATACAGCAAGGACGTAAAAAGACCTCCCGCCCCCTTTAACTTTTGAAAGGAACAATCTAGCGAGGTCGGTTAAAATTCATGTAAAAAGGTACCTCTTTTACTACCATTCGACATGAAAATGGTTGTGGTCACGTGACCTAGTGTCAAGTGGGCACTATCAACTTTTTTTTCGAATGTAAAGTATTAATCTTCTCCTGAAGATGCTAACATAGTTAGCGAAACACGTGTCGAGGTGTAAAAAATCGATTTCGTTAGTGGTAAAACAGTGTGTAGTGAATATATCTTTTGTTCAACTGAATACCATTGTAGTATATTTTGCATCAAAACAGTAGGGGTATCACGACTTATATTCAGAATTACCCTCATACCACATACAGCATTGTAAACATCTATCAAGACTGAATTTATTTTTTGAATGGCTACTTCCAAGCTTGAATCACTACATGCTATCATAGTACCAATCGTCAAAAAGATGTGATGGAAATATTCCTTTCTCGGTATATTCAACAAAAAACAACTACTTTCCTGGCTATTTGCCACGTCGAATATTGAATTATTTATTTATTTATTTATTTATTAACGGACAAGCCAATTATACAATTTACAAAAAGAAAGTATAAAAATACAGAGCACGTACATATTATCATATCTATGAAGAAGACTAATACAAAAAAAAATGTAGAAGGCTAAAACGAATAGAAAGATGATAGAATTATATCTGATGAACATCCAAAATGAGAATAAACCTCTGATATTGAGAATTGGCATTCTCTTTCAAATCGGATAAATAATCTGATGTATGATATAAAAATATAACTTACCAATATATTCAGTATTGAAATGAAAATTGAAATGTATGGGAGAAATGTACTTGCATAAACTTTGATCTTGATGAGGTTGGAACTTCCGAAAAGAATTCGTATTAGTGATATAGGAATATTATCTTTCACTAACAGGTTATATGACTTTATTCAAATGAACTCATTTCGGGTACCAAACCCTCCTCAGTGACCTGAAGTCAAGTTATTCTTTCAGGCACTCTTCATAAAATACACAATTTTCATATCTCTATAATGTACCTAACTAAAATTATAACGAACTGACATCTGAGAATTATTTGTTGATATTCAATTTGCTTCAAATATTAATACTTGGAATAAAGAAAAGATATTCATACTAGGTCCCGTGACCACAACCATTTTCGTGCCAAATAGTAGTAACAGTTACCTTTTTACCTGAATTTTACCCGACCTCGCTAGCAGGAGGACTTTTTACGTCCTCACTGTATGAATATTATTGTAGATTTGTGCCTCACTGCGCAATTGTGGGAAGATTATTGCGGCTTCGCTTTCAAATTGGGCGACATCGCCGATCAAGTGAGCGCTAGGGCTCTGAGACATTGCGATTGGAGCGTGGAACTGTGGTGTACCAGGTTGAGGATACTAGAGAACCTGAAGAGGGACGAGAAGGAGATCGTCGAATGTTTCGAGGAGGGTGAGACCCATTAAAAAATTCTGTTACTGAATTATAATTCATCAAAGCGCTTCAAATTGTTTTATGTTGATGGATTCTTGCTTAAATCACCATTATTTGAATGGTATTATATTCATAACTAATGTTCAAAATGATTACCATTATTTTCTAAACAACGATATCTTCTTAAGACATTTCTGAGCATTCCTACATTACTTTACTACCTACATAGCATAATATGGTCTTATTCTTTATTGATCAATTTGAGAATAGTATATTCTTCAACGAGCGTATAATGATAGCTATTATTCCCGAGGATATGATTCCGAAACGAGCCGTAGGCGAGTTTCGGAATTATCCGAGAGAATAATAGCTATTATACGCGAGTAGAAGACTATACTTTCTCTACGACTATACGATAGTCAGAAATTTAATGCAATCTAATTATTATTTATGAAAATAATATACTTGATGTATGAATTTTAATGATATTATAATACAATTGACAGGAATCTTTAATATTCAACGAACTCAATGATGAAACAGCACAATGATTATTAGGTCAGTAAATTATGTTTCTCGTACTTAGTGACTGAATTTTTAGTGATATTCTTACAATTCGTGAAATTTAATGTCGGTGTTGCATTTAAATCAACACTGACATTTTTATTCATATTGCTAGTTGATGTTTTTTGTGTGAAGGAACTGTTATTTGATGATGATGAACATTATTCGATTCATTGAAGAATTCGAATCTGCCGTTTTTTTTTATTCAACATGGAATCTTCTAGAAATCCTTCTGCCACCGATGTGCTCTTCCAGCCACCATGTCTTTTCAATGCTGTTATACCTCCACCTGCATTGACAAGCAAAGCAATGCCCGGTGTACATCTCGGGATTTGGCAGCTTCCAAAATGAAACTATTTGTTTTCCCATTGCTGCAAACTTATTAATTCCAATTTTTTAAAGAGTACATTTTCCTTTTTGGTAATTCATGAAAAAATTGGAAATCACAACATTTGCTGCTCGTATATCAATGTACTTTTCACAAAATTGATAAAATTTTCCGGTTACAGTGAACCTCCTTACAATTTTTGTTTTGGTCTCAGGAATAGTTATCATCCATGGAGATCCAAGATCTTGAATATCTTCAATATTCATAGAGTCCATTTTTATGGAACGGCAAGCCTCCATTATATCCTCCAGATATCAAAGTTAAAACTTGAAAGACACTATAAGTCAATCTGACATTGGCGAAAGTCAAGCCGTGACGTGACCCGTAAAATGAAGCAGAGCCTTCTTGAGAAATTTGTTTGGTAGATTTGCTGGTTTTTCATTAGTCTAACCTTTTCAGTTGCAGTGGATCCTGAAAATTCTGAATCTGTGATTGGTCGAGTGCCGTTGAATAATGAGTTGGGATCCACGGTGTCTTGGAATCATCTTCATTCATCAATTACTAACCTATATGTTATCAATGTAGAATACGATAGTCGTAGAGAAAACCAATTATTTCATAATTACAATTCGAAAATTCGATAAAACTGAGCAACATGTGGATTTGAGTACCATTATTATTACATTTTCTAATATCTCATGAACGTTGAACCATGGACCTTTATTGCAAACCTAAATTTGAACTTACTCTTATAGTTGAGTTCGTTTAGCATTTCAGTCGTTTCAAAGTCATTTAGTCTCAAATCGGACGGAGTTTTCTATATACGACCTGTTTCAAAAATTTTTAGTTATTTAGATATTACTTCAAAATAGGCATGTACTTTCTCAGATGATATATTGTCTTCAGTGGCGTAACTACTATACCGCGGAACCCCGCGGTTGCGGGGGGGGGGGGGGCTTTCCTCGGAGGGGGCCCTGGGGCCCTGGGTCCACCAACCAGAGCGAGGACTCAGCCAAATTGGTTGATACATGAATATTTTTTAATTATGAATATGTCACAGAAATAATTTTTCTATTTCTGCGAATAGTGCAGGCATGTTTTTTTCAGTGTCGGTTCAGGGTGAGGTGTGAAATCAACAATACAAGCCAATTATTTTAAATGGAGAACTTGCTTAAAGCTAGTTGTGCTTCAAAAAGAAGAAGGAAATAAAAGTTAGAAAATAAGAAGGGTAAAATTCATAAGATTACCACGTTCTTTACGAATACTACTACTGTTTCGGATAATACAGTTGAATATTATGATGAATGTCCATCAAGTAGTAGTAGTATGATGATTGAAACAGGAATGGATGTTGATTCTGCAATTATGATGGAAGAAAAACTATTATTCCAGATTTTTTGGGATTTTCTCTCCTCGTTTCTATAAAATAAAAATATTAATTTTATTTCAATATACGTGTAGTAGGGACAAATCAGATGATTTGCCCCAAAATGTCACTGCGTTCAAATAATTTTCCTATTAGAGAGCCTAAAAGAAAAATTCACTAGCTTGTCAGTGTTAATTTTCATTGAAAAAAGTTTGGGGAAGAGAAATAAAGGTATATAGAAAAAATATCAAATTTTTACTTAGCATATGACGAGACTTCTGCTACAACTGCATTCGAAACTGTAGGTACAGATGGTGTGAATATAAAAAGTATTATATCTGAAATCCACGAGGAGCCCATACCTGACTTGATTGCGAGAACACCTGGAGATCGAATTGACTCAGATGATTCATTACTTGATGTATCAATTAAAGAATCATTTCCTTGTGATAAAGGCAATTTCAGTGGCCGAGAATTGACCAATACGATAAAAATGTTTATTGTTCGTAATGGCCTGTCTCAACCAGATATAAATTTTCCATAAGAGGACTTTCTCTAATTTTTATCATTCACAGAAAAGTCATGCTGGGCAAATTATTCGAAGAAAATGGTTGTCTTATTCACCCAAAGAAAATAAAGCGTATTGTGAAGCTTGTTGGTTATTCAATACAGTGTGTCCAACTTACCATGCTCACCATGGGTATCTTTTCAACGGTGAGAGATACGAGGTCGGTTAAATGACAACAAATGTAGAGTTTGTCAAGACCAACTATAATGTGAAGAAATATTTTGATAAAATCTATTCGTTTTTGTTTTATACGCAAAAAACAGATTTTGATCATTTTCATGTCTCCTCCGTAACTTCTTTATTTATGAAAATATTCAAATAAGAATTTCACATTCTCATGGCAGTTTTTCAAAGTGATTTCGAAAAAAATATGAAATTTATACCAACTCTTCTAGAATTTGAGATATTAGCACCAACTTTAGTTTTTCAAATGTAGGTCATAGCTCACTATGACTTAGTTACAAATAACTTTTTTTTCCCTTACAGATGATATGTCGCAGTAGTAGTTTTGTGTTGATAACAACAGAGTTATCGTCATTTATACAAAAAAAAAAAAATTATTTGGAAACCGCCATCTTGATTTCATGAATTTTAACAAAAAAATCATGATCTCCGACCTCAAAAACCCCCACTTACCAATTTTGAATGGAATCGGACCAATTCTTGTCCACCATTTTGGAGCAGCTATTTTTCTTAATTTCAACAAAAATTCCATAACTCCGATTAACTGGAAATTTGGCAGGTGTTCATTATTTTGGTGACAATTCATTATGGAATTCTTGTTGAAATTAAAAAAAAAATGGCTGCTCCAAGATGGCGGATAAGATTTGGTCCGATTCCATTAAAAATTGGTGAGTGGGGGTTTTTGAGGTCGGAGATCATGATTTTTTTGTTAAAATTTATGAAATCAAGATGGCGGCTTCCAAATGATTTTTTGTTTTTGTATAAATGACGATAACTCCGTTGTTATCAACACAAAACTACTACTGCGACATATCATCTGTAAGGGAAAAAAAAGTTATTTGTAACTAAGTCATAGTGACCTATGACCTACATTTGAAAAACTAAAGTTGGTGCTGATATCTCAAATTCTAGAAGAGTTGGTATAAATTTCATATTTTTCACGAAATCACTTTGAAAAACTGCCATGAGAATGTGAAATTCCTATCTGAATATTTTCATAAATAAAGAAGTTATGGAGGAGACATGAAAATGATCAAAATCTGTTTTTTGCGTATAAAACAAAAACGAATAAATTTTATCAAAATATTATTTCCCATTATAGTTGGCCTTGACAAACTCCACATTTGGTGTAATTTAACCGACCTCGTATCTCTCACCGTTAAAAAGATACCCATGGTGAGCATGGTAAGTGGGACACACTGTATACTAATAGTTGGAAAGATTTGTCTCGAGGGGGCCCTAAATGATATTGGCGGGGAGGACCAAAATATGAAGTTACGCCACTGATTGTCTTATTATTATTATCCCTGATTGAATTATTGTAATGTCAAGTTTGGGACAGAAGACGGTCGACATCTGCAGTCGGCTCTCCTACTAATATACTCCTCCAAATCGTGGACGACGTTTCCTGTTCCAGGATTGACCCGTTGTTCGGCCGTACCCAACCTCGACCTGTGGCTGACCTTCCTGGAGTACCAGGTGAGAAACTGCGGTGATTCGGACAAGCTGGACAAACTTTTTCGGCAGGCCGAAGAGCAAATAACAGATGAGACCGATCCGGCGAGAAAGTTGAGCAGGTGGCGAGCGAGAATGTTGGCGAAGGGGGCCGACATGGGCCGAACTAGGAAAATATGGAACGACATCGTGCATGGTCGACATCACAAAGGTTAGAATCAAATTCGTTCATCTTCTTCCTTCTCCCTTCCTGCATTTTGTAAGTCAATCTCTATACATATAATGGACAATCCCTGAAGATTTCATTCTGTTATAATAATTGATAGCACAATTGTTTCCGAAATCTGTCGCAGGCGACTGAATTTAAGATCGCAGCGCCAAAGTGGCCGGTTGTGAACTATATGAAAGTACAGTCGTATTCAATAAAAAAGCGTACAAGTATTGAAAAGAGAGGTTAACGTCATCCTAGATCTAGTTGTGTAAAACTGGCTCATCACAAGGTGACATTTTATAACAATTCAAACAAAAACGAATAACGAGAACAGTGAAAATAAAATTCAGTACTTGGTCATATAACCATCAGATTCTATAACTTTAGTGAGTCTATTTGGCATTAAGTTGATCAAATTCGATAGTATATTCGGATCAAGCTCTTCCCAGCACTCGTGGATTACTTCCCATAATTCATTCGAATTTTGGGGCCTGAAGTTTCTCTTGTAGATTTTTTTTACAATTATACCCCAAACGTTTTCTATTGGATTGATATCGGGACTGTAAGCGGCCCATGGCAGCACTTCTACGTTATGCGTACGGAACCAATTCGTAACATCATTGGCGGTGTGGACTGGACAATTATCATGTTGATATCTAAAGGTATTGTTTGGATACAATTGCTCAATAGATGGGAGCATTATATTTTCTAAAATGTTCAAATAATTTGCGGCATTGAACTTTCCCTCTATTCGCCAGCAAACACCAGGTCCATGGATACTTATCCAGCCCCATACATTAACGGAAAAACGTCCAGACCTAGAAGCAAGAGAGCTAGTGTATCGTTCTTCAATTCTCGTATAGTGTGGACGATAAACACGAATTGGTCCGTCATAAGTCGACTTGAAAGTTTTTTCGTCTGTAAAAATTACCCTATGCCAATATTGTGGGTTGCGGTATATATGATTTAGTGCGAAAATTACCCTTGTCTGACGCCGTTCAGCGTTGAGTAATTTTTTTTTCGCTGCTGGATGATTATTCAGCTCAGATTTCTTGACCCTTCTGCTCGCAGTAGGTTGAGAGCCAGGAAATCCTGTCTCTATCACAGAATCTCTGCCGTTGCAAATGGGTTATCTCTTAAGTATGTTACAAAAGCAGCATCTTGTTGAGGGTTGGAAATTTTGGGACCACCTGATTCAATTTTTCTTCTCAATAACTCTTCTTGCTCCCATCGTTGTTTGATTTTTAGAATAGTTTTCTTATTCCGATTATACTCCCGTGCTACCGCGCGAATAGACCATCCTTCCTCAGTCTTAGTCACTATCTGAGCCTTTTCTATTTCTGTTAAATGGCGAGGCATTTTTATTTCACAGACTAAGCAATTTCAAAAATAACGCCGACGTCTACGCTTTGTATTTTTGACAATCTATGACAACTGTCAACATTTGGTAAACAATCATTCCCGATAGCCCGTTTTACGCAAATAGGATGACGTTAATTTCTCTTTCTAATAGCGAATTCCATTGGTAAAACTGGTGTTGGGTTTTGAATTCCATTGGAAAACTGGTTCACATAAAGTCGGTGCAGTTTTGAAAATGGCGGAAACATTGAATATGCATAGTTTGAACACCAAAATTAAGTGGAAATCTAATCATCATCATCAAGTAGTGATGAAAATTTGGAGATTTCAAGAGAATAAAGGAGACTACTTCCCAGAATTCATAATATTGTTGAGTGTTTTGCACTAATAGCGAATTCCATTCGTAAAACTGGTGGTTCAATGATGAAGAGGATCTTATTGAAAAAAAAAACTGCTCAGAATCATTTCCATGAAACATCTACTCTGTTTTTAATTGAAGTCGAGAAAGAATTTCAGGATACGGACAAGTTATAAACAATGACAAACCAATTTATCGGATTTAACCTCCAACAATAACATTTTATCATATTATTTCGTATTCCATTGGGAACGCACCAGTTCACATTTTGGTGCAAAACTGGTGCAAAACCAGTGCACCACCAGGTTTACGAATGGAATTCGCTATAATACTCTTGTCAATAATCTATGAATGAATCGCGGTGTCTATTGTTATTCAGTCTGAGGTTTCCTCCACGTCTCCTTACTAACAAAAACGGATTATCACCATTCTTGAATGTTGTTGTCATGAAAAATAGCGAAAATAACCTAGATTTCGATGTTATTTGGTCTGATGTGATAACGGGCCGCTCTCGTGTTCCAGGTACGGCCAGCGTATGGCTGGAGTACGCCCGCCTGGAAATCCAGTACGGCGACCCTAATTCCGCCAGGACCGTCTTCAGGAGGGCCCTCGCCGCCTGCAAGGACTGGCCCCAATACATCGCCGAAGAGTGGTCGATGTTCGAGCGGGAGAACGGCACGTTGGAGGACGTGATGAAATGTTTGGAGGCGTGCAGCGTAGTGAAAAAAGTGGAGGAGGAGAGGCAAGAGAGCGGGAGGGAAGTTGAGGAGGTGGCGGAGAGTAGGGAGGAACGCGTTAGGAAACGGAAGTTCGAGCCGAGAGAGAAAACTAGGTGAGGAGGAATGAGAAAAAATAACAATTTTCTTCTAATACAGTTTGTTCTATAGCCTGTTGAAAAAAAATGCCACCTGTGTGAACCCCTTGATCAGGAAAATAAGGTTATTGGAATATGTTTGGTCCTCACTTAAGCCTTTGACATTGTAATAATAATAACATTTATTAATCCCAAGAAACATACAATTTTTATACAGGGTGAGTCAATAGTGTGTTCTCCTTCTATATTAGCCAAATCGCCAGATATATAGAAAAATTCGAATACAACAGTTATAGGGTTTCTTGGGAACTATCACCTACAATTATAGAGATATAGGGTGTAAGCTATATTTTTCAACTTTGTGATTTTTTTGTGTTGAAACTATTTATTATTGGTCGAAACGGCTTACATGTCCCTATCTCAACTTCTGATTCACCATCTACTGACACTTAATTTAAACAAATACAGAATGGTTAAAAATTCAAGATTTCTCATCACCCTGTATCTATTCCAATTGAATTTCAGTAGATAGTAAATCAAACGTTCAGATAGAGATATGTGAGCCGTTTCGACCAATAATGAATAGCGCTGACACAAAAATTTGAAAATTTTCGATTCTGAACACCCTATATCTCTGTAATCATTTCCGCTAGACCCCAAGTGTGATGCATTGATTAAATCAGCTCTTGAGGAAAAATTGAAAAATGCAATAATATACAGGGTGTCCCATTTAATAACACACATCATCAGCCGATATCTTGGAATCCGAACATTCTATTGATATGATAATAATTTTAGGTTATAGTTCTCATAAAATTCTACATCTATTGTATTCGGATTTTTTTTATATACCTGACGGTTTGGCTAATATCAAAGGAGAGCACACTATTGACTCACCCTGTAGAGGGAAAAAAATATAATAAATATATCGAATATGCAATACAATGAAAGATAAACAGTTCAATCAGAATTAATTAATTGGATAGGCTGAACAACATTGCCATTAGAGGTATTGCAAACGACTTATTGAGATCTTATCTAAATGGAAGAACGCAATGTGTGAAAATATGCAATGTCTTCAATGGCCCTCTAAAAGTAGGATTTGGTGTGCCACAGGGCACAGTTCTGGGACCACTCCTATTTAATATTTATGCGAGTGGACTTCTATCATTGTTCTGCTTTGCCGATGATACAGCGATCGACAATGTTCATGCACACAAAAAATTGATAGAGAGAAATTTATGTTAAGTACTTGGGCATTTTTGTAAATGGACTATGTCACAAAAAAAATGAAAACTAATTTATAAATCCTATGAATTGCGTAACTTTTTGTCTTATAAAATCATAAAAACAATGTACTTGCCACTTGTAGAGTCTATCATAAATTATGGAATTGTTGTGAGGAAATGCCTGTAACATATACCTATCAATGGTTGACGTATCTCAAAAATGGATAACGAAGATGAAGCTCTTTGAAAAAAAGCGCTATCCCTCTCAATTTATTGTAAAAAAAAAAAATTCTAAAATTGTTATAATTTGCCAGAAACATATATATTGTACAGGTCCCAAAGTTTGCAATGCTTCATCTCCACATCTTAGATCAATGCAATATTGGGTAAGGATCATGAAATTTGCTGGGAGCGAGAGATATACCAAAAATGGTATTCACAATTTTCTTAAATTATTTCTTACAATTTTGTAATAAAGTAACATTTGGAGTCAAGCAACTTTTTCAAATAACTTATTATTCCTTATGTCCTTAGAATTGGACATGCCAAGAGGTCAAAGATGGACGAAGTGGTTGAACACAAACCAAACCTGTTGCACGCCCCACCGAAAAAACCGATCGAAAAAGATCCGAAAATAACAGTGTTCGTCAGCAATTTACATCCCCGAGTGACGGAACGGGATTTGAAGGAGCTGTTCCCGAATGCGGTCAATATCGATGTGGTTTTGGATCGGAAAGGTACGTTCATACGAGTGTCATAGGAATTTTTTTCTTCTCTCATTTCAGACTTCATCGGCAACAAAATTGAGTACCAACTTCATTTTTCTTCCAACAAGAAAGAGCTTCTAATTGAAAACAATCTAAAACATAATCAAATCACGAAAAGAAAAATAAATGAAGGAAAGAACCGTTGTGATTGTTATGTCAAATAACTGCGTTTTTTTTCAACACTGATGACTCCAACAATTCGGTGCATCACAGAGTGACGTCACATCCATCAATGATGAGAATGTGGTGTATTTGGTATTGGTATTGGTAGGTTGGATGGTGACAGATGCGCTGCGACCTAATTAGATCTATTGTACCCCATCTGCTCCTGCTATATCAAGGATTTCCTGTTCATAGCAGCCCCTCGAGATTCAATTCCTTCAGGAATTTGAAGATCTTGAGGGGGTCTATCTGTGGTATTTTTTCCACAGTCAGCTGGTGTGTTCCCAGTATGTTCAATCTTTTGTGATGTACAGCGTCACACTCCATCAGTATGTGATGGGGTGTTTCCGGGTCTTCCTCACAGAATCTACAGGTGCCGTCCTCCTGTAAGCCTAGCTTCCTTAGGTGTTCTTTGAGGCTGCAATGCCCCGTTAGAAATCCCGTTATTGCTTTGAGACTTCCTTTGCTGAGGTTTGTCAGTGTCTTAGATCTTTCTCGGTTGAAATTTCCAAGGAGATCTTTAGCCTGCCGTAGTCCTGGAAGTCTTCTCCATTGTCTGGCTCTCCAGGCTCCTTCCGCCTTCTCAAGTTCTCCTTGGAAATAGGAATTTCCTCTCTGGTCCGATCAGTGGCGTTGAAGCCCCTTGTCGTGCCAGAGCGTCTGCTTGCTCATTCCCCTCCACTCCGATATGCCCTGGCACCCAGAGGAGGATAACTTCATTGTTGCTGCCTAGCTCATTCAATTTGCTTAGGCATTCCCATACCATCTTCGAGTTGATGTAGGGAGAGCTCAACGCTTTGATGGCTGCTTGGCTATCGGATAAAATCGCGATGTCCTTCTTCCGGTATTTCCTGTCTAGGTTGAACTGGATGCATCTTCCTATGGCGTGTATTTCCGCTTGAAAAATGCTGGGGAATTGTCCCATGGATTCGAAGTATTTGGTGCGAGGCCCAAAGACTCCTGCTCCAGTTAGAATGTGGTGTAAAATAGTATATTGTTTAACGAGCACGGAATGATAGTGATTTCCTACGAGAATGAAGTTTGCAGTAGAAGCCATAGGCGAATGCTGCAATCATTCGAGTAGGAAATTAGCATTCCGTGCATGTTATACACTATAATTTTTCTACGGCTATAATAGATAACAGCGGCATTTTTGATTTCTTCGTCTTTTAGCCATCTGATTTCCTGTCAAGTAATGCTCATCTATTAGACAGAGCTGTCATTGCTTGAAATTTGACATTCCATGGGCGATGGTTTTTTTTTTTAATAATAACACAATGGAGTCATTAGTTGCGTTTGTTTGGTATCAATCCGGTTGTAGAATATTTGGGTCACCAAACAAACGCCAAATGTTGATGAATATGTCAATCCACGTTTGTTATGTTGCAGGCAACATAAGAAGAACTCATATTGTTGAAGATTTGTGGGCTCATAGACAACAGAGATTCTGACATTTTGGTCAGCTATTTGTTTTTAAAACATATATTTTCACAGAAAGAAATAAACATTTTGAATATTAACCTTTGGAATTTGTTTTTCATACGAATAACAACATATTCAGGGTGTTTTAAAAAAGGAAGCCCACTTGCTAGGGTAGGCACACTACAAAACAAGTTGGGTTTGCTTGGTTTAAAAATGTCGTAACGGCATCCGTATTTTTTTACTAAGCATACTCAACCTATTTTGCAGTGATCTACTTATCCTAGCAAAGGAAACCCATTTCCTTTCAGGTACAAAATTGAATCTCTAAGAATATTAAATGAATGTGAGTTTCAGATTCTACTTTTTCTTTTGTTGATCATCGTTTTCTTACTCTGGGTACCTTTTTGCACAGGGATTAGAAGTTTCAGATATTGATGCCAAACTTCAACTAGAGGCTAAAGGTGTTATCCCAGGGCAATCTCCAACATAGTTTGTCATTTCTTCATAAAATTGCCACTGTTTGGGATTATTCCCCGATCTCTCATTGTGGTCTTTTATTTCTCTATACTTGTGAAGCAGACTCTCTATTTTATTACAACATTGTTCTGCTGTAAAATTGAACTCTTGATATTGCATTTCCTCTGCAATTTCTATATAGATTTCTATTTTCTTATAACGAGGATTCCGCAAGCGATTTGATTCATTTTGCAAAGGTTTATGAAAAGAAGGGTTTGGGTTTTGTCAAAAACATTTGATCTCACATTTTTTTAGAGTTTCTCATTCATTTCATTCATACATTTACTGATTGCTTCATTGCTTCCACGTTAATATGAACTATTTTTTCTATTATTCCGATTGTATATCTTTTTTTTTGCAATGAAAATATCCTCAAACATCAATATTTTGACAAATTATGACAATTACTGCAATTGTCATTCCGATCATTCCGTTGAATTTTATGGATTGAAAAGTAGCAACCGGAGTGGAACTTAGTGTGCAATCAAACAACAGGAATGATGAAACCGATAACGGTTTGATACCAAACAAACGCAACTATTGTGATATCAGATACGGAAATAAAATTGATGACATACAAAGTACCTCATTGACGTATAGAACACAGTGAAACAAGAGCAATCTTGTGTTATAACCGTCGAAAAAAGAACATACCTATGCATAAAAATTCGAATTTGATTTTGTAGGCAAATCTCGATGCTTCGGCTACGTGCAGTTCGCCAAAGAAGAAGAAACGCTCGTCGCCCTGGCGCGAGATCGGGCCCCCATCGACGGCAGACCCGTCTTTGTGTCAGAGATCAAGCCGGAGCGGACGGAGAGACAGCCCGTCTTCAAGTACGAATGATTTTTTTTTTCGTACAGGCCATAGACTTGAGACTGTTTATTGAAAACACGCGTGAACTGATCTTTTGGCGCTGCGCATACGTTGTTTTGATTTTCTTCAGGTTACGAGATACCTTCGACGTAAAGATACGCCATATGCATCGACTTGTTTGTGAGTAGAGGGGCTATAGGGTTTCTGGACCAAGCCAATCAGAGACCAGCATTCAACGGCGCCAAAATTCAAATTATTCATTTGACTTCTTGCCAGTATCGGTTCCGTGACATTTTTGATGCTTTGACGTTTCCTTGACGTTTCTTTCGTCTATACGAGTGGCGGGGCTGGCGGTTCTAACTAGTATTATGGCGGGACTAACGAGGCTGATTGGCGGCGCTAATGACTGCAGTACTGAACGCCATAGATAATGGTCAACCTGAAACCGCCATACCACAAGTTAGCACCGCCAGCTCCGTTACTCGTGGAGACGAAAGTAATGTCACGGAAACGATACGAAAATAATAATAATAATATGTCAGTCACACACATTCGAAGAATGCAGGTGGATGTATTGTACAATTTGACCATTTTTCGCTATAATGTTATGAAGGGAAGTTAAAAACGTTATCCTGACACATTCATCGAGATAATCCGAACGACAAATGAATTATTTAATATGATGATGTCAGTGTCTTCTTGCAATTTGATGAGTTGGAGTTCTGACGGCTGATAATCACTCCGCTGTTGCCAGCTCTTTATAAAATCCTTGAATTGATCCTATGTGCATGATGGTGCGAGGCTGCGAGGGATGCAATGATTCTAAATTACTATAGGCAATAGATGATGTCAGGGCCGGCCCGTCCATATAGGCGAACTAGGCAATGGCCTAGGGCACTCGTATTAGGGGTGCGGCAATAGACGGGATATACAATGAAAAATATATTTTTTTCTGTGACGGGAAAAAAGTTTGGCATTTCATCTCTGTTGGCAGGTTATAAAATGTCACTTTTCATAAATTACTTTTTTCCCGTGGGAAAAAAGTGAGTACTTTTTTCCCGGATATGTATCACATATTATATACTCTGTTAATGGCTTTTGTTGTGCTATAGTTCCGAACAATGAGTCAATAATACCGTCTCCGAGAAAGAACTGCAAGTCCTTTTATCTTCCATTCGACTTCGCGGTTTCGTATATTACTAAACAACTACTGAATCCGCAATTTTTCAAAATCAAATCACAGAATTGAACTGACAGAAGTGACATCAGATATTTGATTACTTCAAAAGAATGATAAAGATGTCTATAAAACGCAGGTGTCCCTACTGTTGAAAACTTGAAATTTCACGTCGATAATTTTCACATTTCGAAATAATGTAATATCTTCTCAATATTGATTCGTCCTTCCTCCTGTCACAGAAAAAAATAGTGTATTATACACGGGAAAAATATTAGATTTTAGCTCACGGTTTTTTGTCTCCCTCCGCTACGCGTCGGGAGACAACACAACCTGGAGCTAAAATCTACTACTTTTTTCCCTTGTATAATAAATAACTATTTTTTCTCTATTCACTCACTTGAAAATACTACCGATTTTTTACCAAATTTCTTTTATTTTGCAACGCCACCCGCATATTCAGAATTCGCCTACATATTAGCCGCTCGAAGTCATTAAATATTAAATAAGTACCATACCTACCTACCTACCTTTCTACGAATTGTCAATGTCGAGGCAAGGTGGTCTAGGTTCTAGAGGAGGTATCGGGGGATAAGTATATTATAGTCTCAGTCAGTCTTAGTGTTGTGTTATAATCGTTTGTGACAACAATCATCGATATCATAAGGAAGTTTGTGTGTTGTTTGTGTTTTACGTTCAGTTATGAAGCGGAAGACGAACCCATACAAGATGAAGAAGACAAATTCAAAATAAATTTTTATTTTGCCGTGTTGGATACCGCCATAAATTCAATCGATGAAAGGTTTAATCAAATAAAAAAGATTAACTGCGTTTTTGGATTCCTTTATAACGTTCATGAGATGCAGAATATAACTTCCAAAGATATTCTGGAACACTGTAAAAAGTTGGAAGAATCTCTTAGTCATGCAGACTCTAAGGATGTTGATGCAACAGAATTGTGTGGCGAATTACAAGCTATTGCAAGAAGAATACCTAACAACACTACGCCACAAGAAGTTTTAAACTATATCTGTGAAAATGGCCTAGTAGATAGCTTGCCTAATTTAGTTACTGCAATAAGGGTTTTGCTTACTCTTCCTGTGTCTGTGGCTAGTGGTGAGCGCAGTTTTTCTAAATTGAAACTAATAAAAACGTACTTACGCTCAACAATGACTCAAGAAAGACTTGTTGGATTGTCAACTCTATCTATAGAGCAAGAAATAGCAGAAACAATTGACTTGAAGGAGATCGTTTCCAACTTTGATGAACTGAAAGCAAGAAAAATAAATCTATCTTAACCTAATGCTTCTATTGTTGCAAACGTCAAAAAGGGAGGTGTATATTAAACATTTATTTGTTTACACTGTTGTTTTATTTTGTCACGAATTTTTTAAGAGGGCGCTCTTCCTGTCTTTCGCCTAGGGCGCCAGGAATGCTCGAGCCGGCCCTGGGTGATGTGTTGATTGGTAACTCATTGCTGATCACATCCAATTTACTCTGAACTCCAAAGCATTCCATTAATTTCAAGATTAGCTTGGATAAAATGAGATGCGGCATCTAACAGTAAGACGCGTTTTATATACTCAGTTTGGTTTTAGTTATGTTGGAATTTCGTTGACTAATTGTTATAATCAGCAAATTGAACAGTGTTACTATATCTCAAGCACTCATTCCCAGGAAAATTTAATTGCCAATCTGGTCTATGTCTACAAGAGAGAGAGAGAGATGAAGCAACTGACGCTAACACAATGTTGCGAATTTTTTTGAATTGACTCGGCCGTTAATTGATGGAAATCTATGACAAATGTAAAAACTTCACAAACGATAAGATTTCAACTCAGTTCATTGTACCAGTATATCACCTGACGAAGCTACTGTGTTAGCAAAACATGTCGTTTGTTTGAGAATTTTGTGGAAATCTTATCGTTTGTGAAGTTTTCACAATGTTGCGAAGTTAAAAATACCTCATTCCCTGCATAACTTCATTGTTCTTATTTCTCAATATTATTGACAAGAAGGTAGTGATGTTTGTAGTAGTGAGCAATTTAGTATTGATTGATTCAGAATTTGTTTCTTTCCTTATGGTAGATAGGTGTAGGTACGTACATAATTCGTGAGTACCTGAGTTTGAAAGTACTTTACTGGAAACGGACTGTGATGAATATTTGCACTGTAATTCAATAGAAAATTAAATTTCACTTACAATTTTGAAAAATCCTCCAACAAATCAACCAACCAACAGCTTATGCAATGCAAATTTTCAATACCACGAATTTTCAGGTAAGTAGTTATTAGTTATCTAACAGCATCTGTATTATTTGCTCAAATGAAAAAACTAAGGAATGAAAATCCGACTAATCATAGCTTTCTGTCCAAATTGGCAACATCGTCTAGTCCATCCCATTTTATTGGTAAGATGTTCTGTGGTAAGATGAGGGAATCACCAATCCAAATTGCTCACGCACTGACGTCATATGTTTCGCGGCCATGTCTAATAGTTTGAACTCGCTCTTTGATTTTGGCGTTTTCAACAATTTTTTATATGATAAATTGAAGGAAAAAAATCTCAAAAAAATATTTTAAGGTATCCCAGAGCCATATATTTCGAAATTTATTTTTTCTAGAAATAACTGGACAGAGACATTCAATGGCCGTCAGCTGTTGTGATAATTCACGAAATATGAAAAAACACAAACAAATCATATTTCTAGTTGATTTTCGTATAAAAAATTGTGTCAATCAAGTACAACTTGAGTATATAAAGTGCCCAATGATGAGAAAGGAGTTAAAATGGGTGTAAATTCGTACCCAAGACAAGGGGAAAACTGTGAAATTCCGAACTTGTTCGTGAAATATCTCGATAAATAGACATTTGCTCAAATTTTCACTATGAAATTCATGTTTTACAGACAAAAGTACATATGTATAAAAAAAATGGAAAAAGAAACCATCGCTCTCTTCTCGAGTTATCACGTCTATGGAATCGCCTGTACCATTAGTCATGTACGAACTTGGGGAAAAAACCAACGAATTGTGTCTTCAGGTACGCCACTGGCGCCGAGGAAAACAAGCTGTTCGTGCGTGGTTTGCCGGTCGACAAGACAGTGGAGGAGATTGAGAAGGTATTCAAAGCGTACGATCCCGTCGATGTCAGGGTGGTCACCAAAAGAAACGGACAGTCCAAAGGTAATTTCTATGATCCATGAAAGTCGTGGTTTTTCCTCGGTCACGTAACCGAAAGGTGTAGATGATGATGAACGAGATAGCAAGCCTTAGTTTCCAGTGACATCGCCCTGTATGAGAGCCAGTCCCACAATTAATCATTCTAGAATTATGTCATTTGACAGGTTGCTGAGGGGCAAACCATTGTCGTTCTGGATGACAACCTAGTTAGGTAGTTAGTAGGCAGGAGCTATTGTCGTTCTGGATGACAACCTAGTTAGGTAGTTAGTAGGCAGGAGCTATAATATTGTCTGTTCATTGAAAAGACAAATGAAGAAAATATGTAGTTCAGAGACATCTACGTGAATTAAGTAAACTAAGTTATTCATTTTTTATTCCTAACCGTAACATTTTTCATGGTCCTGTCAAGTTTGTAAATAAAAATCTGTCATGTGGAATCCCGAAAATGAAACATTATCACGGAGGATATTATCAAGTATGAAAACCATCTACCTATACTTGAATGGAAGCAGGAAGATGTTTAGGCAATGCTGTATCAGGTTGACTTATGATGCAACTTGAAATTAAGTTGGAACTGTGGAAACTTCGGAAACTCAATAGTGCTATTACACTTTTTCGACATGCAAGCCAAGCAGAAAGGTAGGGGCTGGTTATTTCCTT